CAATCGTTATCCGGAATGACCGCACCATCTCTATAATTTCAGCTCTCTTACAAGAGCATTTGATACAAAATCGTACCACTTTCTAATGTTGATCCTAAGACCTTCACTTCCATCGCTTCCAGTTTTCTGCTTAAAATTTGTTAAGTACTCTCATCTATAAGCCATAGGTAAATGATGTTTAGAATGAGAGCCCCCATGTTCGTAGGTTATCCGATTGCTAACATCGGTGAACTTCCAAAGCTGGTATAACTTGTAGCTAGCGCAAACGCTTACCGCTCTCAATTTTGTGTCACACCCGTCTGCAGCAAATGCATTTCCAACGTCCAGATGTTCCGTGGTACTCTTTCGAAAACTTCTTCGTCAAGGGTAATATAGTCTATGGTCTGGGTTTTACCAGTATGTATCCACATGTCTTGTTTTAAATTAATTGAGAGACTCAGATCAGAATATTTTTATGTCAAATCTAGAAGCAGCGATGCCTCAGCTTCGAAGTTGTTTCCCAACAACACGTCATCGGCAAGTGCAGTACAGTTTATGTGGATGTTTCTCCCCCCTACCACAGTGGTAACTTTGCTACTGTGTGTTGTTTGAAGCAACTGGTCAAGAAACATCGCAAACAGCAGTGGAAATTAAACTTTGTAAGAAAAGATTTGCTGAACCTGGCGTCAATTCGCAATGCAATTGAGGCAAGATAATCAATCTTCTTAATTATGTAAATAATGTCTGGTGAACTTTCATGTTGTTCAAGAACTTTCCACAAAGCATCTCTGCGTGGTCAAGCACTTGTGAAATCAACGAAGACTGCAAAGAATTTGGACCTTCATGCTCATAATTTTCGTTAGTTGTCTCATTATCTGTTCAATCCGGATTGCTCTTCATCCAAGTTCTTCTCAAGATGTTATCTCATCTTATTCATTAATTACAAATTATTAGGAACGGTGGTCATTTGGATCCGAGTGGCAGCCTTTCTTTGAATATTAAAACCACAATATTTATCGTCCAGTCATTCAGGATCTCCTTTACTTTCCATTCCAGTCCAAAAAGATTCATTAATGCCTGCGCTTCGTTCATTTGAAACTCTTCAATTAGTTCTGGTTGTATTCCATCAATTTTTTCAGCCCTGCAATTTTTCAGTTGGCTTAAGACTTCAGTCGCATCTTCGAGGGTCATTTACCTAGCATCATCAGTATTCATCTTCTCCATATGTGTAACAGAGTAGCACCCTAGAGATGCACTTTGCTCAAATACATTGTTCGCCTGTTATTGGGCCTGATTCTCTGATTTCATACTGACCTGTAAAACAAGCCTCATTCTCCAAAGAGTAAGAGGTAGTGAGGGGAGTGGGTGTTTCGTTTTTACTGCCGTAAGCTGAGATCATAACGCTTCATTTCTGATTAGTCTTGGTGCTTATTCGAAGGTTATGATGTTCTTCGTTATTCAACTTCAACCTGACGTGATGGTGGTTGCGCCAAACCTGGATGAGGGGGACAGTTTTTAACGTCGAGTTTGGCAGAAAAGTTAGCTGTTCGTTTTGCGTTATGAAACGCTCGCTCGTACGACAAAGTCGAACTTGTCGCAGCTGCACTTTTTGTCACACACGACAGAGCGTGTTTACCAAGGCTATCGTCATACGACGCTTTAAAATACGCGTTTGTTGCGTATGTGGTTGCACAAGTGGGTCGCTGCCGCTTGACGAGAAATGACGTTCTGCGGACCGAAATGCTCCATGTGTTGTATTCTGATCGGATGCTGGGGATTCGCATTTATGGTAAGACGTCTTGCTTTGGCGAACACAGATCTTTTGGCAGTTCCCTCGGCGGGAACCGGTCCCGAAACCAACATCCGCCCGATCTGCACTTCGAGGATGCCGCACCACTGAAGAGTGCAATTAGAATGGTATCGTGGTCGTGTAGCGAAGGTCGTCTGCAACTTAGGTACCGTAGGAGGTCATATTTCAGGACATAACGTTATCCTCTCATCAGCTATGACCAACTAGCGAGGTGACAAACAACGACGAAAACGAAACTCGACTTACAAAGCGCAACTTACAGTAATTTGTATTTCCGGTTAACGAACGTCAGCCAGCAAAGGATGCATGAAAGGAAGCTTACTGTTTAAGGAGATCGATGAGGAATCTTGTAACCCTGCGTGAACAAATTCGTGAGCATCATCGGAGATATGGTCTTGAAGAAGTGGTGCGTTAAGTAACGTACTCGGGCGTACGAACACGTTTTGTTGTTATGCGGAACACATATAGAGTACCAACTCCTAAAACATCGTTCACAATGAGCATGAGGTGGCTCTAACGAAAAAATAAGCGAGATGCGTCACTGGTACTGTAGATATTCAAATATCGGTGAGTTACGGCCTGCTTAAATGCTTTCCCCTCCAGGCATCTACTAGTAACGGCGGTGCAATACTCCGTGAAATGTGCTTTGGGAGGAATCATGCGTCAATGGGCCTCATCGATTACGGTGATATCTCATATACTTTAGAGATATAGATATAACCAAGGCCACGATT